GATCTGCAAAATTTAGCCAATCAGATTTTTTAGCTTCAACATCAGCCAAACTTCAGCATCAGCCGTAACAATTAATATAAATTTATAAATATTGTGTTTTATATACCTTTTGCAAACTGGGAACCCTGAAAATAATCAATTAACATTTTCCAGGGAGGTATAATCAGCTGATAATCGTCACTTCCCTAAAAGTATTTTAATTATCTTTATTTTTTTATTTTTATCTAATATATCTAATTTTTGCTCAAAATTTAATATTTTCATAGAATAATAATAGTAGATATACTATGATTTAGTCTAATATCAATATTAATTATTCAGTATATATTCTAATATCAAAATTGTAACTTCCGTATTTGGTGTCCGCATGCGTATAATAGTTACATTCTTGATACATTATATTGTTTTGATTTGTGCTGAGTCAAAAAAAAGTCAGCAAGTTTATATTATTGCACTCCGACACACAATGCTACGCATTAACCTAGTCTAGTATTTTTACCCAATAACCATGAAGCACTAGTTGAATCCATATTGCCGTGACGTATAGTCAAGCAATTGAATTGACGTTAGATGCGAGGATGAATCAATGAACATGATTAGAATGATAGTAATGATTCAAACGAGTTAAGTGTGAAATTAAAGATTTATTCATCATAAACGATAAAAGGATTGTAGTGATTGTGCTGAAAGGAAAAAGATGAAAACAAGGCATCTGATTATCATCAAAAATCCGCTTATATTGGCCACGAAAGTGGGATAATAAATAGAGTTGAGTTGGAAAGGACAAAAATGAAAACCACCAAGAATAATTTAGTGAGATAATCGAAGGTAGCGTGCAATATATGATAACTGTTTATGAGTGATAATTAAGGTTATTAAAAAAAAAAATGCTTTTATTAAACATTTGGGCATGGCACAGTCAGAAGTTCGTTTGATCGGTAAATTTTCTCGATCTAAACTAAAAAAAAAACCTCACATAAAGAAACTTGCAAATTAATAAACATACACGAAATATTTTATCACGTATATTTAGAAAATAGACAGATATAAGTGAAGTAAATGTAATATTTAATTTAATGTTTAATGTGATATTTATTATTAATTAATACCGGTAAACTCGAACTACCAAAAATTTTACGCAATATATGAACCAAAACTTTAAAATTTATGGTTTAAAAGGTATTATAACATATAAATAAGTTATCCAGGCAATTATTCTAATTATAAACTCTATATTTAATACTTAGAAAATGTCGATCGTACTAGGTAGTTTAAAAGAGAAAATTTAAATTTATTGAAAATAATCTGTTTACATTTGTTTACTAAATTTTTTATCTAGTAAAACATAATTTCGAAAATACATGCTAGAATATGCTAAAACAATACATTTATATTAATATCTGATCTATGATACCCATTTTTTTTATCCTTTTTAGCATCTTTCTTTTTATGTCCCAATGAAAAACTCTTTTCAAGCTTCTTACAAGCTTTTATCACGATTGGATTATTGATGAGGAATGTTTTTTGAGACAATGACTGCCCAGTACACATTCCCATTTTGGTCATTAAATTCAATTCAATATTATATGTTTTCTTTCCGATCTTATCATCACGAACTTCAGAAGTTTTAAACTGAATCAATGGGTCATCACTAATCGACATTTTATCAAATTCTGAGTCATTTTGTTTAGGATCAAATGGATGACACAACGCCACAAAACCTAAAAATTTTCCAATAACCTCACATACTTTTCTTCCATCCTTCCCACCTGGAATCATTTTCTTGACACCATAAAACATTTCAGAGGCCATGTTGCTCACATCATCTTCAACGT